CCCCCCCCAAAACTGAATTTCTAAAATGCTGCTTTGGGGGAGTCCGGGTTTTTTTCTTCTTTTTCGGGGGTGGGGGGAGCTTAACATTTTCAACTCTATTCTTTCACTTAAGTGACAGATTTATCCCACTAAAATTATGTTTCATGCTGAAACTTTGAAGGGAAAGTGGCTACGTAAATGCTGAAAAAATGCAGCGAGACACACTTGATCCCCCAACTGGACTGCGAAGAGGAGAAAGTATTCAGGAAATGTTAAAAAAGGTGAAAGTAAGAAGCGTTTTAATAGTTCTTCCAGACATGGGGGCCTCCCTAGAGATTCATATAGAACAATCCTGAACCTCTATTTTAACATTTACAGACTTGCAACTCTTTTAAAACTTTACATCTGAAAAACTGCTTGTTCTCTTTCTGTTTTAGATCAGTCTTCATTTTCCTCCTTAGTTCTTCAAATGCTTAACCTTTTTTATTACATTTTAATAGAGTTTTTCAAGCCACCACTAGTCCCCTCCTTCTGGCCTTATTTAAACCTGGTCGTTATTTAAATATGCACTAACTGCCTTTTAAAATCCAGGCATTATAGGTCTAAAACAAGATGAGCTTTTTTATTCTGTGGCTCGGGAAATTAGCTAAAGCCCTTTCAATCCAGAGCTGCTCAAGGGTAAGAATAATTCATTTGCAAGATTAATGTGATATACACAGAGTACCGCGTACACGGAACCTAGGCTTCGCTTGAACTTTTAAAGTTCATCACGAAATTTTCAGCCAAAGGAGGGGGGAAAAAAAAAAAAAGAGAGAAAAGAAAAAAGGAGGGAAAAAAAAGGAAGGAAGAAAAGTGTTTCTACTAATCTCCCCAAGCAAGAAAGGGAAATTGCAGCTAATACCAAAGAAAAACAGTTGTGATTCCTATGCACAAGGCACACAAACGCAGGCACCTCCTGTGAGCTGCCGTGTCGTGACCAGGCCAGCCGGCCCCGGGCTCCCGCGCCGCCCCGGAGAGCGCGGCCAGGGCCCACGGCGATGCGGGACCCCCTG